TGACCCAATAACAAAAAACAAAATGAACATGAAAAGTCAATATTACATTGAATTTTATTATACAAAATAAGACCAATTACTGTTTTAAGTCAAAGAGCAAATGCAGATTACCTTCTTGAGTCTTCTTTGAGAAAATTATATTACTTTATATTATTATAGTGTAATAAAAATGATGTATTTTCTACTCACAGCTCCCTCACAGCTCACAAATGGCTGGGGTCTAGCTCTATTTTAGACTTATAAAGCTCTATTTTCAATGCACCAGAGAGAATGCACTCATACATAGTTTGCAAAGTGGAAGACCCTATAGAATTATTATTTAGGTGCTACCAAAATATCAATATGTTCCAGATTTTCTATCATTCTTAGAAACATATAAGACATATATTTGTCTTAAATATTAAAAGCTGAAGTGGCCAGAAGGAATATTCCACTTTGTGGCAAAGGCTTCCTATAAAACAGAGCACCACCCAATCACCTCTCCTCCCCGGGTCCCCAGGGCAGGCCCGCTCTGTTTGAAGATCAAAGCGTCTGAGGTAAAACAGCATGTTTACAGGTGTGGGGAAATTGAAAATTTCCTTGGCTGTGTGCGTCTAGAGGAAGTACACCAACACACAGTCTGCATGTGCTGTGGCCTTGTTAATGGGGGTCTATGAGGCACTTATGGTCGCTTAGTTGTGCTTTTGAGAGATGAGCTGTTGGTAGTAGCCCTACAGAAATAACAATGTTGCCTAAAAATTTTGAATTTAAAATATATAGCTCAAGTAGAATGTCAATGCAATAATAACAAGAGTGTATGTTTGTGTGTATGTATGTTGTAAGTGGAGCATTTACTTATACTTGCCAATAGTCATGAAGTTATCACTTTCATGTATAAACAAACCTGAAGTCAGAACCTGCACAGATTCCTCCAGCTCACCTGTTGGATTCACATGCCAGCCCCTATCACTACTATTCCAAAAATAACACCCCAACAGTTGTGATTTTGGTTTACACATAATGCCAATTTAAATTTCAATAGTTTGTATGGAAATGTATTTAAATGAAGTTGAGGTTAGACATATTATTAGGAAAAGAGTTATATAATAATGCCTAACACTTGCACTTTATAGCCCAGGCAAACCTCTCAAATCACCACTCCATAGTCATTATTCATTCACCACTCACTGGTAGTACAGCCATATCTGCCCTGGGCTAGTCTGACAAGAAGCAAGTCTGTCAGTCTGCGCCATCTGCACGGACCGCCAAAAAATCACTCACTTAAACTATTCATACCAGGCAAGTTGGGTGTAATATCCTTCAAAAGAACACAATGACAATACTTGGTCCGAGCGCAGTTCGACTGGTTGACCTTTGGGTCAGTGTATGCTCTTCCCACGGAGCCACTGGCAGTGTTTACATGCACACTCTAAGTCTGATTATCCAAATCATATACATTTTTATAAATTATAAGATTATTAAAATCACATGTAATCAGCAAAATAATCACATTTCTTTCTGATCATAGTGTAATTTAAATAAACTTAAAGGTCCAGAAATGAGATTTTGGTGTGCATGTGAACATAGCCACTGTCGCCCCCTATAGTTTTGAGCTAGAAGACACACACCTGTTGTGGTCAAGAGAAGGAAAACTAGCTTTGTACTAAAAGATCCAAATCAGCAAGAGCATAAGACCATTTAAACAACAACTGTTTGGTTACATTGCTGGGTTAATTTTTACCATATTGTTCTGGGATAGACAGGAGAATGCAATACCAAAGTGGAGTATGGCATCTCCACTTACTGCAGCGATGGGCCAATCACAGTGAAGCACTTTGTGCATGAAAAGGAGTGAGTGTTTAGCTTTTGAGGCTATTTGTGCATCTGACTCCTGTGTAGTGTTTGTGTCCGATGGGAGGTGCCTGCACCAGTTTCCTTAAAGGAGTAGGGGGCTCTGTTTGTTTCTGCGTGGTGCCAGGAGAAGTGACAGCCATTCCGGCTCTTTCACAGAATTGAGGAGGAGAAAAAAAACACACACATTCATCTGTGTGAGAAAAGAAGTCGGCTGAACTCAGATGAAAGGGCCATGGAGCCGCGGTGCACAGGAAGCCACACTGTATAGTTCAACACCAGAGACAGGCAAGAGACCTACACACAAATACCAAGATAGACAACAACTGTTTCAGTCAAAAGTTAACAAAAGCAACATTTATGTTTGAATTTAGTGCGAAAAAAAGTGAATAGAAAGCATATTAGTGCCATGCCATTTTATATAAAAAAAATAAAAACATTGTCAATTACCATGCTGTGCACACTGGCCCTCACATGTCCCATATCCAGGACTGTAATGTAATCAACTATTCAGTATCTTATGCCAGAATTAGACAGTGCAAAGCAAAACCACTGCTGGAACCACAGCAAATGCAATACTTAAATCCACTGAAATACAAAAAATAAATAAATAAAATAAAATGCAGACTTCACACTGCATTGCACCTCTGCCCCTGTGGTCTCTGTTTGATTTTGGGAGAAAAAAATAATGGGCCAAAAAAAAAAAAAAAAAAAAAAAAAACATTATATATACATACATACATATTTTTTTAAAAAACAAAGCATACACAAACATACAAAGTGATCATTAGAAACCAACAGCACAGGAATATAACTAATTAGGCGAAATATGTATTAACTACAGCTACAGCTGTTTTGGTTATTGCAAAGTCATTGTTATGAGCTACTTTTCACTAAATCTTTGTAATACATCAGTATAATACATAAATCACTATAATACATTTTTCTCTTAAACTATTTCTTTTTGAAGTTGTATGTATTCAGTGTATCTTTTCCTCCAGAGTGGCGCAATGCTGACCCAGAACCACGCGGATGACCGGTGGTTCCAGGTCCGCGCAAGTGCACGCACACACTCGTTTCATTAAAGCAGCTCCACAAATGAATCAGAGGATATGGCGTTTGTTTTAAAGTTTTTCTCCAAACAAAGGCCCGACATGCCTTTAATGGAAGCGACTCCAGATAAGCGGAGCAGGCCAAAGAATTTAGAGTTAATTTGGGACCAAGCGATCTAAGTCTGATCCTGCATTATGTCTAATTGGCTACAGTAGATTTACCGAGCTATTGATAGGTGCCAAACAAGACATTACGTGAGACAGATGCCAAACAAGACAATTACTGAGAGTTTATTTATTTATTTATTTATATTAGCTCATCTTACTAAACTACATAAAGACATTTAATTAAACGTGGGATGTATTGGTACAAAAACATTAAAAGCAATAAAGTTATTTTAGTCAGCTTTGCGTAACTGCGTGTGACCAGAAGGCATACCAGTATTCTAAAATATAAGATTTCCAGAACTAAACAAAGTAAGGCCTATAGACGTGTGTATAAATGAGGTGAAGTGTGCTTGTTGGGGCCCTACAGCAGGCCTAGAGCCAGGGGACGTCAGACTCACTGGTGCGCAGTTTGGCCTCAGGTGCCCGTGACTATAGCGACCATCAAAAACATTTGCTCCTGCGCACACATTATCTAAGAGAAGACTTGTAAAATACATCTCATTTAAATATTTAATTGACTAATATTGGTGTTATATCAATCATCAGCATATAGAAAACCTATGTGCGTACACAAGAGGAAGACACACTTTACGCACACATATATCAGTAAAAGAATGAAGAGTTAGGCCTATAGGGACGAAAGATAATAAAAGAATAAACGAGCACACTTTAAATCTCTCTACTTTGTAATGTATCTTTGAAGCCAAACATGAATTTAGTAATATAATATTAGTAATATTTGTGATAACCATTGTTTAACTCATAACTCTAATTAGGTTAAATATATAGCATATTTTACTTGACATGAAAAAAAACTTTACTCAAAGCGGGACATTCCGTACTTGGGAGAAAGCAGCACATGACCACAAAACGCAAACATCAAGGAGCAACTTCGTACAAAACAGCTACACTAGACTACAGAGAAAAAGCAAACAGTTGGGAAAGACAGAAGAAAAAAAAACTCTTCTTATTCCATGGATCGATATCAACAGCAGGGGCCGAACAGGAACCGGCATCGATGCACTGTGTGCAGCTGACCTTTCCCACTCCCCATAGGTCATGCCTTCCTCCGGCAAGAGGTCACGGGGCCAGCCACTGAACGGGGAGCCTCGGTACAGAACCATTTATGCAATTACACTTCACAAAATACACCCCTCGCTCTAGTACGTTCAGATAGACTATTTATGCTCGCATCAATGTTTACTTCAAATTAGCATATTTATTTTTCGCATCACCAATACGAGCTGCGTAATGTAAGCAGCTACTATAGCCCACACTGCCTCCAGCCTCTTACGCACACACAGAGCCACTTGCTGCGACAGCGAAGACTTGGCCTACAGCACAGAAAGCACCGGCAATACCAGCAGCACTGAGTTAACACAAACGTGCACCAGAGCCATTCACGCGCCACAGAATCTTGTCTCAAACAGAAGACATCATTCAAACTCCTGTCTAAGGTCAACAAGAGAAAAGTAGCTGGAAAAGATATGCGTCCTCCAGCATCACCCGCAAAACATAGATCCTAACATCCAATAAACACAGACAACAACAAGTGAAAGGAATTGCATATGAGATAAAACGAGAAGTTCAAGTTCACTTTGTTGGTGGAGCTGTGAGTGGGACAGTCTAGAGAACTGATATTTTTTTTTTTAAATGCAATATTATATTATTATTATTATTAAATACAGCCACAATATTTCACCCTGTTTCTATTTTATTTGCATCATTTTTTAGTGTCATATTCAGTTGTGTTACTCTATAAACTAAATTGCGCAATACGGCTTTACATTTTTAACCGACCACCAGCCATTTCAAAATAACCACTAGAATACATGTTTATACTTGCAACACATTTTATTATATTCGTATGCAGTAAAATTTTTATCACAATTAGGAAGGACACCTCTTAAAACTTTGAACAAAAGCACATTAAATCGAAAACAACTGCCCATGTTAAGCTCGTAAATGTACATATTTATAGTAAAGAAACATTCTTTATAAATACTGTTTTATCTGTAGCAAGTAAATAGCATAATTTAATTACAAATGGATAAATATGGCAGTTGGTATTTACAACAGGAAGAATGTAGTTACAGAAAACCCAACGGCACAACGTTTATTTTCCTTCCAGATAGTATTCACAATTCAAAACTTGCAAAGCACAAAACATCACAAGTTAAGCCCGAACTAAATAAAAACAAATGTACATTCACAAGCAATATATTGTGGTCTGTTCCAGTTCCATGTTAACTTTGGCACTCTGCAGTTCATAGATGTTTAGCATAGTACAATCAGTTTGCCTTAAGATCACAATATTCAACATGATACAGCGTTATCGGAATATGTGCACTAGAAGTTGGAAATAGAGAAATAGCTACCATTGAAGGGACATCTACACCAAGGACAGACAAACTATCACAACCAATGGGCAAGTGGGCTTTTCCAATTTTATTTACATTATTCACTATATGATACATATTTCCTCTGATTAACCCCCTCACATGAGGAGACTTATAATAAAATACAAAATAAACAAAATTTGTGTGCCTCTCACGTGCACGTGTTCCATTTTCGTGCAGGATGGTCCAGTGCTTTTCTGTGTTTGTTTTAAAGAGTGTGTGTGGCTTCGGCTCAAGCCAGAGTCCTACACGTACCACTCACTGAAATTGGAGGAGAGGGTGCTGTGTCCACTGGAGTTGTGCACGACTGAGGCAGGGGACAGGGTTGTGTTGCTCTGGGTCTCTGTGGTGGGGGACACTAGGCCTGGGGGGGTGGACGACTCATAACCAGAGCTGCCAGCTGGGGACGAGTCTGAGCCGGGTGGAGAGGATTCATGAACCTGGAATAGATTAAAGAAATACATTAGATCAGATTGCATTGGAAATTGGATTTAGTGTGATTACTTAAAACAACAACTGAGACAGAAGAAGTAAAGGCTATTTACCTTCATGTGTTTCCGTAGCGAGCTGGGGTGTGTGTAGGACTTGTCACACATCTTGCAGAGATATGGCTTGTCTGAAGTGTGCACGTGCATGTGCTTCTTTCTGTCGCTGCTGTTTGCAAACCGCCTGTCACAGCCTTCAAACTCACACTGGAAAGGCTTCTCTCCTGTAGCAAGGCAAAGGAGACCATGTTAACACAGATATTCACCCATTCTCAAAGAAACATTTCCAAGTAAACAATATTTAATAAGAAGTAGGCTAAACAGACTTAAATTATATTTTATGGAAAACTTCGGACATAAGTTCATCCCTCAAACCCCACACCATTTGCTAAAATAGACAATAAAAATCTAATTAACACCTGACCATTTTCATGGCATGGCACCGCCAGTCTGTCCCCCAAGAAAATACAAGTCCAAATGTGAAAGCTTGGTAATGGCCCTGTCTAGCACCTTATAAGCTCCCATTCAAGAGGGGGGAAAACGCACCATGAAAAACAAAAGGCACGCATAAACAGTGCGGGCAGAGGATCTACAACACAACAGAGGACTCTAAGGCATGCATGAATTGCAAATGCCATGCAATGCAAATGAAGTGAATTTCTAGAGGGAAAAGTTGGGATAAAAATTAGAATAACTAAAGATTCCTGGATCGTTTGGCCTGCATTGTCCCTGTGTCATATTTGACCTCATTCCAAACTTTACACAATACATGGAATCCATGTAAATGTATCTATGGTACAAATACGTAATATCAACATGGTGCGTAATTACAATTTCCCACGTATGCATTTTGATACCTTGGAAAATATTGTTACTTTAGCAAATAAAATAATCTAATAATTATTAACGTGTTCTAGACAACCCACGTTAGCCTCATTATAAAACATGACCTAATGCATTAATTACAGTAAATGTATATGTATAATGGTTGTCGTTTTACCTGTATGCGTTCGTTTGTGGATCTTCAAGTTTTCGGAGCGAGCGAACACCTTTCCACAGCCGGGGAACGGACACGGGAACGGCTTTTCGCCCGTGTGGACCCGAATGTGATTAACCAGTTTGTATTTGGCCTTGAAAGGCTTGCTTTCTCGTGAGCATTCTTCCCAGAAGCAGATATGGTTCGTTTGCTCGGGTCCGCCAACGTGCTCAACAGAGACGTGCGTAACCAGCTCGTGCATGGTGCTAAAAGTTTTGTTGCAGCACTTCTTGGGGTTGCTCAGCTGCTCGGGGTCGATCCACTTACAGATGAGCTCCTGCTTGATGCACTGTTGCCTCATGTAGCGGAAGAAGGCACCGGGGTGGTGTGCTGCCATGTTCATACCCATGTTCATATTCATGGAGCCGTACTGGTTGTGAAGCTGAGCGGCGGAGTAGGGGTCGGTCCGCGGACTGGACACCTGGTGGTACTGGTCAGAGCGTCCGAACACTTCGCCGGGTAGTCCGAGGCGCATTTGGCCGTTGAGCACATTGGGGGATCCGTGGGTGCCGTGTTGGTCGTGGATCCCGGGGAACAGAATGTGGCCTTGAGTGTCTGAGTGGGAGTGATGTAGGGATCCCGCCGTGGGGCCAAAAATAGTGTGCTGGCCGCTTGCCGGAGAGGATTCTCCAAAGCCGCGGCTGCGAAACAGAAAGTCCCTGGTTGAGTTGAAAGGGGAGCTAGCATAAGACGTGACATGAGCGTGCGCGCCCAGAGCCGCAGCGGGGTAACCGGGCGCCTGGCTGCTGAACGCAGAGCTCTGTCCCGGGGAGAGGTCGTGGTTGAGTTTAAAGGCACCCATGTGTGCCGAGTCTACAAAGCTGTTCTGAGCCAAACCCAAGTCTCTGTCCTGCATGTCGCTCGCGGAGTGATGCCTTGCAAACGAACTCACTCCCAGTCCGGGAAACTGGTGACCAGCGTCCAGCAACATGACTGCACTCTCACAAAATCGACTTTCCTTTAATTCAGTTCAGTGGAAAGTTTTAAACCGAGAAATCACACGGTGCTGATAAGCAACGCCTTTACTTCCAGCCTTTTAACCAGCATCAGGCGTGCGTCAAAACAGTGGTCCGCGCATGAAGAAAATAAAAATAAATGCGACTTTAACGTCAGACTAAGAAAAAATCCAAACAACAAGACAGACTTTCCTTGTGTCCACTGCTCCTTGGTTAAAAAGCACTAAATGAATTAATTATCTTACTAGGTGTCCTTCGCCAAAGAGCAGCTGGAGCATCTCAAACGTTGCTCTTCCGATGGCTATATATTTCTGTAGCTCGCAGTGTTTATCGTAGAGGGTCCCTCTTTCTCCGTGGACTGACTCTACCTCTTCTTCCGCCCCCTTTAACTGGAGCCCCTCCACTCGCATCCCGCGTTCTGATTGGCTAACGGATCTCATCAATCCCTCGCGCCCGGCCAATGGCTAGTTGCGCTGGGACGATTTAATAGTGCAACGCCATTTTCCACTAATAATTACCGCCTACTTTTAGGAGAAGGTTTGGGGGAATAGGCTACAGGAGAAAGGATCAGTACGAGAGACAAGAGTGTTTATTTTGTATTTGGTGTCACGTACGCCCCAACTTGCGTAGAATAGAATGTGACTTTTATTGACTTTGGACACAGAAATAGGACATAGGCCTACTGAACAATTCATAATTTACAAATGTGTAATTATTTCTCACGATAAAATAAAATTAAGACGTTGGACCAAAGAGATAGGTCTAGAAGAAATGCAGTAAATCCTTACACCTACACACATGCGCACAACATAACTAACTCTAAATAGGCTATAACAATAGGCTTGTACACAAACACTTGGTAATTAGATGACGCCTTTAGGATAGGCTACATAAAATTAGACTGCCTCGACTATGTAAGCTTTCAGAGACTCATCAAGTATTTTGTATTCTAGAGTTTATTTTCCCAAGTGTATTCAATCAAAGAAGACATAGTTTTGAAAATGATATAATTTAACTGCCCCTGCATATATATTAGTTTTGTCCAAATGCTGTAAATCTTAACGGCTTGGCTGGGGGTTTGGAGCAGTTGTAGAGCCACATCTGGGCCTTAAGAGGTGCTCACGCCGCACTGTACATGCAGTCTTTAATGGTTCCATATGTTACTGGTTGTGCTTCTTTGGTGGTTCTCGAAAATCACCACACCAATTAAGAAACACGGTATGGCGGTGGCAGGCGCATGGAATACATTTGTGTTGGTTAACCATACAGCACACACAAAACCCTTTTTTGAACGCAAGGCATACCCCGACACATTTTGTCATGTATAAATAATGTTATTGAAATGAAATTAGGCACATAATTATTTTGTCTACTTAAATTTTCACCAGCACAGCGTTTACATGGTCAGACTAGGCCTAGCCAACACATTTTCCAATTGTTGTTTTTTATTTAGCACAAAAGGTTTACTTACATTTTACTCACGCCACCAGTCAAGTCCCATTCCTTCTCCTATGCCACTTGACTAACGCAAGACAAATGGGCAACGTTTTCAAACTTTGTTTAATGTCTTGCGTTAGCTCGGATTGTGTGGGGCTCTGCGTTATGCGTAACGTGCATCTGTGTGTGTGCGTGCCATTCCCCCAAGTCTATTTCAAACTGCACCACAGGAAGCGCAGGAGCTGATCCAAGTTCAAAGTCACGTCTACCGACCTCATATAAGAAGTTCTTTATTTCTTTGCAAAACCACAAAACCTTCAGTGGATAGCATAGTGAAGCGAAAGGGAAATTTAAAACATGAGAAAAAAATCTCATACATGGGGACGCATGCGTTGTCCCTTCAGCATGTAGAAGAAAGGGGCTGTGCTATCCCCAAAGACCATTTCAACAGGTTTTACACAGGAAATATAGGCTGATATATAGCCCAGGCATGTAACACAAATCACTATATGAACCATAAAGCTGGCAGTGAATGTGGGAAGTGGTTATCAATGGAGTGAGGAGCGCTGGTCACACTCTGCCTGCAGACAATCTTAGGGGCCAAGAGTCGTTTATATCTTTCTCTCTGTTATGTGACAGTATCAATATGTTGACACACCACAACTTTTACTTGTGCCCATTTCATGACCTTGTGTTTCATGGATGTTTGACCTCCGACCCATTAAGACCACATATGTTGCCCCCTTGACTCCTCTTGGTAAAATAAGTCCGTTTATGACAAAGCGCTTTTGTTTTAAAGAGGAGGCAGCGAGAGTGGAAGAAGGAGGGAACAGGTCGGCTTCCGTTTGACTCTGGAAGTGGAAATTCAAGGCAATAACCCAGTGTTTTCCAGATAAGTTATGCTATTGTATTTATTAATTTATTTTATTGTGTTGATTAATTCCTAAATAACGTGTTTACAAAAAACACAACAATTTAAGTTGCGTAAAATTTAACAATTACCAACTGGTCCATGGTCACCCAACCGAAACTACAAAATAAAAATACTGATCCTACTACATGTGGAAAGCAGCTGATGGACCATGTTTATCTTTTTCAGTCTTTTTTTAAATTTTCATTCCTGGTATTTTTTATTCTCCAAAATACAAAATAGACTACTTAATCATACACTATATTTTACAAATTACTCAGGCAATTTTATTTTATTATTATTATTTTTAACAATAGCCTTTATTATAGTTTGACTCTACATAAGTTCAATAGAATCAACAGACAAAAAGTAAACTTTCGCTAAATAACGTCAAGCACTTATTTATCACAAAACAATACTGTATATATCTGCAGATCACATCTGTGTCGTCTCCCCCCAAAATGCAAAACAGCTCCGTATTTAGCGCAAAGATCCTAAACAGTGCGTGTTGTTTATTTTAAAAAGTAGTCGCTTTTTACACGTGTGTGACTTTACACTTACTTTGTCTTAACGCACCGCTATTTGAAACGCTTGTTAGTCTGAAAGGTAAATTAAATAACTAAACGTGGCGCCTCTGACACATCTACCGCTATCACTGCAGCCAGATCGGTCTCTGGGACAGGACGGTTCAGTTTTCTCCACATATGGTGACTTCAAATGCTGATTGGACGAACCGAGCCAGGACTCAAGAAATTTTGGGCGTAATCGTCCCATAAACACATTGACATTAGTGGTCCAGGAGTAAACGCACACAAAGGCGCGGAGAGATGAAAACAGATCCGCTGGCAACTTTGTAGAGTACAACTTTTTGGAGTCGACAGCGATAAAGAGAGTGAGGGGGCGGAACCCTGCTGAGCCCCTGCGCTGAACGACAGCCAATCGCTTCGTTCTCCTAACTGCCAGTCACCAAAATCCGTCCAATACCCGCAGTGCCATTTCTAAACTGTATTCCCCACTGTGTGCTCCAACTGTTGTATGTTCTGCCAATCGCTTGAGGACAGAGTGGGGAAAGGAGCAAGCAGAGTTAGAAGCCGGACATAAGAAGTTATAGGCCCTTATATACATATTCCCCTAATGTTTTAGAGAGTCAGGTGTGGTGTAAAAACAATATCGCGGAGTGCGGATGGACTTGTCAGAGTAGTTATGGAACCCCCTTTAAGCAAGAGGAATCCAACGATAAGATTAGCGGATTTGGCAGCGACTCAAGCCCTTCCTCATCAGAATATGACAGGCTTCCCGGGGCTAGGGGGGCATCACCCTCTCTCCCACCATGCCCACCTCCACCCTGGGGAGCTGGCCAACGACCCCGGAGTGGCGCTCACTCCATTTGGACCCGAGCACATGGCACAGACAAACGCTCTGAAACTTAGCCCGTCTCAGCACATCCAGAGCCACCACCAGCACCATCCTGAAGCCCAGACCGCGACACAGAACGCGACGCACACGGTCGGTTTCCCCGTGGCCCACCACCCCCACTCAGGCTACTCGAGCAGCAGGGACTTCATCCTCAGGAGAGAACTCTCAGCCTCTGCTATGCACGCGCTTGGCGACCAGCATAGTTCCGCCTCCTCCCCACATCACCATGGCATGTTCATTTCCCCAACAGGTGCGTACGGGCACGCAGACAGTGGCAGCCTTTTTACTGGACTCCATGAGCAGGGGTCCCCAGGTGCCCACCATCACCATGGTCTCAACGGTCAGATGCGTTTGGGCTTGCCGGCAGACATCTATCCAAGGCCGGATCACTTCAGCGCGCATAGGCCGGAGCACTATGGACCTTCCTCTCTACACACGTACAACTCCATGAATCTTAACATCGCATCCACTCCTCACGCAGCAGCTGCAGGCGCGTTTCTACGTTACATGCGGCAGCCCATCAAACAAGAGCTCATCTGTAAGTGGATCGACCAGGACGCACAGAGTCCCAAGAAGCCCTGCTCCAAGACGTACAGCACCATGCACGAACTAGTAAACCATGTAACGGTAGAGCACGTCGGTGGTCCTGAGCAGAGTATCCATGTGTGTTTTTGGGAGGAATGTCCCCGAGAAGGAAAAGCGTTCAAAGCAAAGTATAAACTTATAAATCACATACGAGTTCACACGGGAGAGAAGCCATTCCCTTGCCCGTTCCCCGGCTGTGGAAAAGTGTTCGCGCGTTCGGAGAATTTAAAGATTCACAAGAGGACCCACACAGGTCTGTAAACATGTACTAAAAATAATTGCATAAAATAAATTGCATTAATAATCGTGTTATAAAAGTTGAGAGAAGTTTGATACAAGTGCACAATATTGTTTGCATACAACATTGAAAGGTTTAATTGCTAAGTAAACATTACTTGAGCATGTGTATACATGGTGTTAGTTTTTATGACAGTGACAGTACACATGGAACACTACGCGTGGCACAAGGAAAAGAAATGGCACGTAAAAAATGTTGCACTTTCCTCTGACAGAAAGTATTTACTCATTTAATATCATAGTTTAGACTATAACAGTCAAGTAGGCCCGTAGTCAAGTTTTAGCATAACATTTCATATTGTGCTTTTGTTTTACACTATTAACATGTTT